AATTACAACCTTGTAAAAAATGTTGAAGCTTGCAACTAAATGATTGTGATCAATAAAATTAGTCGCAAACTTAGGTAGAGATTAAAAAGGAAAATGAAGATTTTATTCCTTAAACACTACAAATTATGATATGTTTATCGGACAATTAGTGAAAATACCCTCTAGCATTTTTTTTAATAGGGTAAATTATATCTACACTTATGAAGTATGTTAAAATAACTTTAAATTTATAAAAAAAAAAATGTTAATGCTTACGGTTTTCTAACAAAACAAACACTCGGCATTGGGAAAAGATGGTGTAATATTACAACATACAATATAACTGTAATTTGAACACAATTTTCTTTATCTTTAATTTTAGCATTCCTAAATCTTGTGGAATTACCACAGCAAATGTAGAAATAATATTAGATAATTAAAGAATATAATCAACCACAAGAAATAAACTTGTCCATAGCTGTAATAACTAATAGGGCCACTTTTTGAGTTTCGCCTAGGATCTTCCAATATAACACATAATATTGCATGTAAAAACACATAAATTATTCAAGCAAGAATTTTTGAGAAATGCAATATAAAAGAGAGACTTAACTCCGAAACAGATTACTCTACACAACAAGTTGCACGAGAATTTCTACTTGTAGAGTACAACAATCATCAACAAGCAAACCATTTTCGGGATCACGCATGGTAGAAAAACTTATGAATGCCTTCTGTCCACAACATTTATCCAGAGATGTAAACCAATGAGAAACTGCAACAAAAAAAATGTAGCAAATTATTTAAAAAAAACTTTTACAAAAAGAAAATATTCAACATTCAACTTACGTTTTCCAGAGCTTCGAACAACACCAAGCCTGCCTTTTAGACGCAAATAAAACTCCGCTTTCACTTTTTGATGAGCATCAAAGGTATCGGCACTCGCACACACCACATCCATGGACAATTCACTGGAATCTCCATTGAGATATAGCTTCATTCTCCTAAGTTTACAAATATGCATGATTTAATTCAACAAGGAGAGAAAAGAATGGAAGAAAAAAAATCCAATTAACATGAAAATAATTATAAAATAGAAATGATAAACATAACAAAAGAATATAAAAGAAAACAAAAATACCAATTGACATCTCTGATGGTAAATTCTTCAGAAATCCGAACACGATCTTCTTCTAATTTAGAAAATTCTTGAATCTTCCACTCATATTTTTGTGGAACTTCTGTTGTTTTGAGGAGAGTCACAGTCTCAATGACTCGGTGTCTTTTGATGACAAGAATTTCAGCTCCAAGTACAATGCTGTCATCGGCAATGTATCTACTCGATTGATCAATCAACACTTTTTTAGGGATAAATTTGGGAAACCCCCATTCAGTCGTGGTTTTGTTAAAGTTGCGTTCATTTACTGGAGAACAAGAGCAACAATGTGAGCATCTCCAACTTTATTTATAGTTAAAATCTATGTAGCACGGACACGAGAAAAAACATGCGGCGAAATGGGGAAAGGGGCACCGGAAAATCCCATTTTCTGAAAATCTGGATACGGGAATGTGGGGAAAGTGTAAATATTAAAAATATATGGATACATACATAATTTCTAAAAATGTTATTAAGTACTTATATAGTAAATTACATATTTGTATCTATAAATTATATATAACTTACAAGTTCCCAGTCCCTCATATCATTCCAAAAATTATATACTAGGCATACAAATTTAATTTAGTATGAAATTAGCATCTAAAAAATATTAAAACACCACTAGAAGTGAAAAGGAGACATAAAATTTAAGATTTTTTTCAACTGTGGACAATTCCGGGTCATTATTTAAAATGGGGTTTGGATTTTTTTAGGCGGAAACGTGTTTCTATCATTTTATTATTATCAGAAACATCCCCAAAACTTTTAAGTATTTTCGAAAACGACCCCGAAACATTTTTCTGATAGGTGTCATGGAGCGATTTCAAAACGTGGAGTCGCGTATGTACAAAAGTTTCAGTGCATCATAGGTTAAAATGAAGAGAAATAACAAAAAAAAAAAAAGAATCTAACTAAAAGAAGACTTGGTTCTTCATTGTAAATTACCTCGAAAGCAAAGATATTTATCCAAGATATGATCATACAAAAAGACGGTGCAAGTGGCATTAAACTCCCAATCTAGAGGTAATGAATTGGTGTCAACTACAGACAGATATACAGAAATATAGTCTCCTTTTTCTTTACCACCAGGATAGATTACGAGTCTCCTGTTCAAATGCATGCAAAGAAGTGTAAACGAAAATCAATTGACATAATAATCAAAGATAAAGACATAAATATAACCATTTGTAGTCGCCAGCTTCGAATTCCCTTGTTTCGACTAT